TGTCTCCTGCTCCTTCACCAGTCGATAGCTACCGTCCATAGGTACCATCCCTAGGCACCACCCATAGGTACCTTCCTAGGTACCGAGAAAGGCTCTCGGGCACTCCACGAGGCCTGGAGCTCATCGCAGTGAGGTCCTGGGGAGGATGTCCAGGTAATTTCATTGACTACATTAGCTTTAGTCTGGTTATAGGAAGCTGGAGCGTTCCCCTCCCTGCAGACTGCTGCAGCACAAGAGGGGCCAACGGGGCCGGCACAAACTGTCCCAAAGAGGGACGGACGGGTGAACGGGTGCGATGCCCTCTGACTGGTGGTGTGCAGAAATCCCCCAGCTTTCCAGAGAGCTCGAGCTATTTTGCTCCTTGACTTCCAGAAAACAAGGCGAAGCCCTTCCCCGCGGCCCGAGGTGCCATCCTTTGCCCCAGGAGCTGCTGCAGCTGCAGCTGCATCGGCACCGCAGCTCGGCGCCGGCTGGGCATCTCTTTCCTGCGTCTGCGCAGATACCTTGCGCGTTTCCCATCCATCTCCTGTTGCTCTCAGTGCCTCCTCTTGATGCAGCCCCTGCCGGGCTGCAGCCCAGTGCTGCTTTTGCAAGAGGAAGGACTGAGAAGAGACGCCACGAGAAGACCAAACCCTGGCTACACGCAGGAGCAGCGTTCGCTGTGCTTTCTGGTTACTCCAGGACTTTCCTGGGGGGGGGGGGGGGGGGGGGGGGGAAAGGCACGGGGAGAGTTACTGCTCCCTCCTTGCATGCAACTGCAAGGAGCCAGGCTATGAATTACAATCTTCTCCCAGTCAATAAATGCCACCTTGAATAAATCAGCGCGTGGCCCGGTGGGATGCGCTGCTGGCTCTCATGCCAGAGGAAATTAGAGAGACAAAACAGGCTGCATCTCCTCAGTCACCTTTTGCTGGGAGCAGAGCTGAGCAAAGGGTCTCCAGCAAATTCATTCAAGGGAAAAAGATGAGCCAGGTGGAAATTTCCATCTTTTCTCCTTGGCTGAAACAGCCAGAGTTTGGCTCAGAGCAACCTACTACCTCACTTAGCTCTTAAAGGCCAAGGGAGCTGTGAGGCCCTCATTTCGCTGCTCCCCCCTTGGCTGAGCACAGGCAGGGCTCAATGCACTAGTGAAAAGGTTTTTCTTTTCTTTTCTTTTCTTTTCTTTTCTTTTCTTTTCTTTTCTTTTCTTTTCTTTTCTTTTCTTTTCTTTTCTTTTCTTTTCTTTTCTTTTTCAGGCTGCAAGGGACAGATCCATTTTGGATGGATTTGTTCCACTCTAATTTGATAGCGCCTGGTTTACGCCAAGGAATTTTGCCTCTCCCCAGGCAAGAACAGTTTGGCTCTCCAAAAATCCCTTTAGCCCCTAAAACGCACCTCAGCCCCACATGCCCTCTGCGTCACCTGGGACCTGCTGGTTTCTCCCGCGCTGTGTTTGCAGGGCCGGCCCCGCGGTTTGCCACGCAGAGCGCTGGCGGCGGCAGAGGATTTCATAAAACAGGCGCAGCGTTCAGCCACTTCAGAAATTCCCCTTTACCACGGTGGAGGGTTTCAGGCCAGCAGCGAGGCGGGTCCTGGGATGAAGGCCACCTTTATCCTAGCGAGAGGATGCTAACAGTACCAGGAACGGATACTTTTAAATGACCTTTTCTGTTCCTATGGGGAGGGGGTGATTTTGCTGTGTTTGGGCTCCCTCTCACCCTCCATCCAGTTTAACAGCAGAGAAGACATCACAAAGACATGACACTCTCGCAGCGATGGCCTGGAGAGACTGTGCTGGCACCACCTCCGAGGGAGAGCG